TATGACAATAAACTAATCAGGAGTTGATTTTTATTAGGCTAAATTTCCAATCCATTTCTCCAAATGCAGAGAATTAGAGTTGTTATCTTAATTTCTAACTCCCAATGGATAAACCTCCCCATTTCTAACAAACATTTGTATATTTTAGTTATATTAAGGGTGTGGAGATGAAAAATATGAGTAAAGATGATTACTGTCCCCAACTGCCTAAAATCATTGCAATTAAGTACCTACGGAAAGCTGGGTTTTTCTCAAAGCTGAAGCTTAGCCCAGTTGAGTGACCTAATTAAATTTTAATTGATTTTCTTGTGTATAAAAATCTTTTATACTTCCTTACCTCAAAAAGACTGCTAAACAAAATTTCACTTTCTTCATAGGACAGCCTCAAAATGATGAACACAATTTGATTCCTGTGGTAGATGGAACTTTTAAGTCTATATATATGGGATGTATGGGGTGCAGAGGTAAATGAGTAGTGATGGTTTGGAACTTACATTTGAAAAAATTGAAACTAATAACTTGATTTCAAGTCAGTGGTTTCTTCTACATAAAAAGAGAATAAACTTGTTGATGACCCTGGGCAGAGAGTCTGAAATTCCTCAATAAATCAAAGGTTGATGCTGTTTCTCGTAAGTGAGTTTCTTTCCCTTACTACACGCACATACAACACCCTTTCACTCTTACTTCAGTATCCTTTGATTGGTGAACAGTTCTAAAAATACCACACCATCTGCATAATTTACCTATGACTCCCACACCCACTTTATCCATCCCAATGCAAGCATTCCGCTAACTCATTTGCATAATGTTTGTCAATGGGGTGTGGAAAAAAGCCTCCTCACCATTCCAAAACTTCTTTGAGAAATACTGAGGCTATCCTGGAAACCAAAAGGTATCAAAAACTATTAGCAAGGATTTCATTTCCAAGAGGTAAATTCTAGAGTTCTCTATGAACAGAAACATTCTGTCCCTCTTAAATTTCCTTTTGTAGTTTTTCACTGAATGTACAAAAGAGCTAATTAAAGTAAAAACAGAGTTTTCCAGCAATCTTGCAGCAAAGAAGAAAACAGATTTCCCAATCCCTAATGTTTTCTTTTCTGGACTGTTAGTATCAGTGTATATAAAATGAAAATCCAGTCTTTGCTTGGCTTAAAAAGGCACATGCAAGAAACCTGCCCTGGATAGAAGTGTTGAATGCTGGCACTGAAAGGATCCAGAAGGATCACCTGGACCAAATAAGGACACCAAGCCTGGCTTAATTCAGAAGTTTAGGCAGTGGCAAAATATCTGCAAAGCACCTGCTAAATATTCCTTAAGTGTCATGAAGTGTTAAAGCATAGACCAAACTCATAAGCAAGTTCTCTATAAGTTTTTCTACAGATTCATAGCTGGCATTTTTGACTACTTATATAGCTAGTTATGCAATGCAATGTCTCAATTATTTAGAGAGCAAATCTATCCCTTCAGAAAATGTACACAATAGGCAAGCACATTTTGAATGTTTGTAGTTATTCCTAAGAGCCTTCTCTATAAATGTTATAAGTGCATGTAGAACATAAAGGGGCTGACAGTTCTAAATCATACTCTGTTTTGATGCAGGATTTCATTATCCAAATCCAGCCATAAGGAGTCTATATCATATTATGCATCATTATCCATCATTATCCATCATCATATTGACAAGTTAAGTTTCAAGTCAATACCATTTTATTATCTGACTTGATATGTGGAAGTCATATTATATCCAATAATCTAAAAGTGAGTCAATTACCATTACAATAATACCTCAAGCCAAATGCCATATTAAATATTACCTCAATCATGGAAAATGGGTTCTAAAATCCCACTGGAAAAGACTTCAACCAAGACACACACACACACACACACACACACACACACACACACACACCCCACCCCCCCCACGCCCCCCAGTGAGCCCAAATGTAATGAAACCTATGGGGTAGAAAAGCAACACAATCTTTGGTGCTATTCATGTCCTTATTTCTTTTTTAAAATAGTTTTTTCCTCAAAATTAAGATTATTTTATCCTCCTTTATTTCCAGTCCTCCCTCTATTCTAGCACTATGCTGTACTCAAATATCTGATGGTCTTCTTCAGAAGTGTTTCTGCAACTAAGCTTTTGGTGTGAGTGGTGAGTAAGATAAAAATAAGTCTCGAGAGCAGTATTTCTCTTATTTTTTGTGGTGTAGGACTAGTTTCTCTCCCTAATTCTTCCTGGATTGACAATTTAGGAAATATAATTGGTATGTATATTAAAAGAATGAAATGAAAAAGGAAAAGACATAGTGAGTACAGGCCCATTTCTTGAAATTATTCCTTGACAGAGCCAACATAAAATTGACTATTTTTTTAAACCTTAATATACTTTCTTTTTTCTTTTATATATATATATTACATCATTCTTCCTTCCTGTACAATGTATGTTTTCTCCTCTCAGGTGTAGTACCCATACAATTTTCATGACCAATTCACTATCACCATAGTCCCTTGTGCTCTTCCCTCCCCTGTTCTGTTCCCTCTCCCTCCTCCTCCCCTGCAGAGTATCCCTGACTTATAGTTGCCTGTTAATTTTGTTTTTTAATTTATTCTTTCTTTCCTGATTCCTTATTTGGTTCCCCTACATTCCTCCTATAAGTAAAGCTACCCTACTAAAAAGTTTCTAAATCCTTAACTCACAAATTTTGCACTTAGCTCAGTATAGACTGGTAACCAAGAGCCTGGCTCAGGAGGCACACATTAAGTAGCTGGCCTCTCGTGTTTCCTTCTACTCTTAGGACCTACTTCTCCTCCACACGACCTGGATGCCAAGTGGGTAACTGACGCTCTCATGATTCCCTGTTAATTTCCCTTATATATAAGTTCTCAGAAGACTTTGCAATTGTATAACTTATTTGTCATTCCATTTTTCCTGTGCAAGAATGAATGCTCTGTGAGCAAATAGCTTGTTTGCCATTGATCTATTTCATTAGAATCTATGGCTATTAAATTCATTGATGGCATCTCTTCACCACTTTTTGTTCTATCTCTTTACTCAACAGATATTAATATGTATAGAAACACATTTTTCCAGAAAGGCATAAAATTTTTGGATTCAGGCACATAATGTCCTTCTAACTAAAAATACGAGATAGTTCAATTTTGCAGCCACCAATTAGATCAAGATTTTATAATTCAGATGAATGGATATGACCTGATAAAATTTTAGTTTCCTATATAAGGGAAAAAAGACTCTTAAAATAATAAACTGGAAATACAGTTATAAAATATCACACAGAATTAATAACATTAATATAAGAAATAATAAGACAAAGATGATCATCACCCATGGAAGAAAAAACTGTTTATCTTCTCCATTTAAAAGAATGCACATGCAACAACAAAATCTTATACCAAATGACAATTTTTAAAAGTAAACTTTTATCCAATTTGATCACTCTAATACATAGTCCTTCCTTGTGTAAATATATAATAAACCCTTACAGAGTCCAAAAACATTTACCTAGAAAGTGCACTTATATTTACTCAAAGGAAATAATTAGGGATGCACATAAGATAGTAATAGTATTACTATAGATGTTCAATAATTGAGGGATTAAATAACATACCTATGAATCCCCACAGCCAGTAAAATGATGCTACAGAACAGAATTTATTGACAAGAAAAGATATTTACATTATATTTGTTACTGAAATGATAGATTACAACACTATGTTACACAATATGGTCACATACTAAATATGGAAGAATATATATTAAAGTGATGATAATAAATGTATTTGGGGGATATATGATTATATTTTTTGCTTCATTATATTTTCTATTTTATCTTCAATTAACAAATATTTTTATGGTAATGAAGAATTAGATAAAAGATATATAAAAGATAATGATGGGCCTCACTTGCAGCCTAGGGGTTAAGTCTCAGCATTTATCACTGCTATGGCCTGAGTTCAATCCCCAGCCAGGGAGCTAACCCACATATGGCACAGAAGACCTCTCCTGTCTTGCCTGCTCCTCCTCTCAGCAGTGTATTTCAGTAAATCCATCTGGTTGATCCCTATTCTGTCTTTGGTGAATCCTGTCACCCCCTGCACCTGTTGCCTACATCCCAGTTCTTCTACACAAAAATAAAAATAAATAAATAAAAGATAGACTCAAAAGAACTCCTTCAATCGAAAAGTAGTAATCACAGATTTAATTCGATAATGGTTTGACACTATTAAAAAGTACAATATGATGTGTTCAACTGATCTGTAGTACAAACAATTGGCAGATTTGTTTAAATTATATGAAAACAGTTTTCAAGTACTTTACAGACTTGTGATAATTAGTGGCTCATTACAGCAATGGCTACATATTCTTGAAAACAGCTTTGATAATGTAAACTCAGCTTTCATTCCATCTGACTTCACTTATGTTATGTTTTACCTATAGTTTCAAAGTCAGAACCCAGGGACAAAACCTTGGAAGTAATATCTTGAACATGTGTTGAGTGACTGTCAACTTGACCTCCTGGTCTTTGATTGATCATTTAGCCAGCACATAATATGTACTCTCTTTTCAGAGCTGTGATGATGAAAATAAAGAAAACACCCCTTTTTAGAAAGCTAGGCTGGCCATCCATACCAAACTCCAGACCTTTCATATATAACACACCACAATATCTTACATCACATCTTTCATCCCTTTATTCATTGGTAGAAGCAAAGACATAAAACATCACCTTCACAAAGGATCTTAGAATTTTTGGCAAAGAGACTTAGAAATCATTTAGTCTCACCTGATGGTTTTATAAATATGGAAATTTAGGTTCTGAAAGTAGGTAAGTGAAGGGACAAGCCAGAATAGGCAACTTGTCTTTAAACCCAATCCACTTTCCAACATCATCTACCAGTTAAATCAAACATCAGGTTCTACTTTAGAAAGTAGCTAAAGTAGTACAAGGTTAAGGAAAGGTCAAATCAGAGTCCATACAGACCTTGCATCTGGTAGCTGTAGGGTGCCTGTCCAGGTTGAGGGGTGCCAAAGCTCGTGCCATAGCTGAGAAATCCTGTTTGTCCAGGTGACTGAGATTGTGACAATCCACCTTCAGTCTTGATGCCTGCCCACAATGCACCTAAATCAGTTAGTGATAGCTTATCTATCTGTTCATTTTCAAATGCTGGCAAATATACAGAAACACTCCTATAACTGCTCAGTCACAAATACTTCCCAATATTATCTCAATAAGCAAGACTATATATGATTAGAATAAAATATCCTAAACTCTAAAATATCCTAACTCTAAAAAAATTATTACAGATCCTATTGCGTATTCATATTGTTATTTCTTGTTTTCATGAATTCCATGATCTATAAAATTTAACTCCAGCAATATAACTTCTACACTTAGTTTATTGTTTCATAAGAGCTTAAGATCACCTCCTTTATAGTTATGAAGTGACCATATTCAACCTTAAATTATTCCAAAAGTTGCTACACTGATAAGTATCAAAATCCCTTTTTTCTAAAAAGTTAGTAATGAGAATCTCTAAGCCTCTCAGCCTTTCTTTTTTCTTTCCTTTTTTTTTTTTTTTATTTTTACTCTCTACGGGATAACTGATTTTAGTACACTCATTTTGAAGTCAGAGGTAGCAATATTAGTGACAGAACTAAATAACACAGGGGAAAACTTTCTCCCAAATATCCAGATCCTATCAGAAAGTCAGCACAAAAGCAACAAATTATTAGTCTTGAATCTTTGCAACAGCATAGTGATTTATAAACAAATGAAGTTGATCAGTAGTTCCCTTTTTGTTTCTTGTAGTTTCAAGTATATATCAAGTATAAATGTTTTGAGTGTAGCTTAAAGTACATTTGCTTTTTTATTAATCCATAACATAAAATAATGTATGTGTGCTTCCAAATACTTCCTAAAGTACAGGCTGACATCCTAATTGCAGGACTTAGGTTTGGCAGTCTTGCTGTGCAGGGATCAACCCTAGATCATAATTAAAGACAGTCATGAAAGTTAACAACTGTCCTTAATTCCCACAAAGGTTGGGGAGGAAACTTTCTGCCAAGGGAATTCACATTTTTGAATAATTTTACTTTGCACTTAAGATAAATGGTATCTTTGCAATCTAGAATACACAGTAGTCTCACTGTTTATTTCCATTTTAGGGGAATTTCATCAGTAGATGAAGTTAGGTAACCTTCGTAAGGCAGTAGAAGAATCTGACTCTTGGCTGGGAGAGCACACTCTAATTCCTGCAGTATCTCTAAATAACCTCATAAAGACCTCAACATTTAAATCTCAACAAAACCTTAACATTTTAAAAAGGGTATTTTACCCTGTACAGGCAATCTCAAACCAATGGATAACCTATCCCTCCAATGGTTTCCTAAAAACACCTGCCCTAAGTTTGAGGGCTCTAGAAACCCCTTCTTTCCTTCCTTCCTTCCTTCCTTCCTTCCTTCCTTCCTTCCTTCCTTCCTTCCTTCCTTCCTTCCTTCCTTCCTTCTTCCTTCTTCCTTCCTTCCTTCCTTCCTTCCTTCCTTCCTCCCTCCCTCCCTCCCTCCTCCCTCCCTCCCTCCCTCCCTCCCTCCCTCCTCCCTCCCTCCCTCCCTCCCTCCCTCCCTCCCTCCCTCCTCTCTTTTTTGCTGCTATTAGGAATTTTCCCTTCTCTCTTCACTATAGTAACACTATAGTAATCTGCTTCCAGTTTTCACCTGTAGCAGCTCTGTTTTTAACCAGGACTTTCCAAAGGGAATCTTTGTGATAAGAACAGCTTAGGAAATGTAGGAAGAAAGAGAAGACAATTTAGTCACTCCTATCACCATGGTTTCTACCTACAAGCTGGCAAAATCACCTCATTGGTCAACTCCAACCAGATTCAGTAAAGAATAGCATGAGCTCTTCTTCTCCACTTATCTATGGTTCTTTCTATGCAAAGATTTGCCTATCTTTTCTTGCTGGGTCAAAGTTAAAAGTCAGGGGACACAGGACCATGAGAAAGTCTGAATTGCATTCTTCCTTCCTTTCACGGGGAGGTTGCCATATTTTTTGATGCACTGGCCCAAGAACAATACAGACCTACTGGGGGCATATCTTCTTTGTACTCAAGGTGCAAAAAGAGAAGAAAGGAGGTGATCAAGAGAATGCTAATAACTGGGAATCATTCCCAGACTTTTAAGTATGGAAGGCCCTATAATGAAAGTTCTTCATATGAGCCATATTCATATCACCTCCAGATCCCCACCTACAACAAGAAAATCCCCATCCTCAGCCATAGTTCAGAACTAGAGGAATCCCCACCCTATAGCTCAGAAATTACCAGAATGGGTAGGAGGAAAAGAGGAGAGGAGTTCTGTGAGTGGCAGCCAAGACAGTGACAAAGTAGCACCTTCCCTTGGTAAGTCTAAAGTAGTTCACTGTTGTTTGTACTAGTAAATACATTTCATTTACACTTCAAATTATCAACTAACAAATAAATTTTGAGAATACACATTGGGAAATAACAACTCATTACATACTTTAAGCTATATAATTAAATCATAAGTTCTTTTTCTTCTTTTAGCACAGAAATAGTTTAAAAATAGTATCTTCTTTATCCTCAAGGTGCAGAAAGAGAAGAAAGGAGGCAATCAAGAAAATGCCGATGACTGAGTAAAACCCTGAGTAAAAGTTATAGAAATGAAGGATAATTCTAGAAAGTCCATTTTAAGGCTGTTTGTAAAGTCGGTAAGCACCTAGCTAGATAACATTCAGTTCTGATAGATTTGAAATAAAACTATAAAGGATGAAGTCATATATAACTTAGATGCTAATTTCTGTGCATTTTTCAAGATATTTACTTATGGCAGGATGTTATTTCTTTTAATATACTCCAGAAATTATGAAACAATAAAAGAAACATAATTAAAATACTGAACACAGAAATATGATTCTGTGCAATAAGCACAGAACCACTTATTATACCAGTCATTTCCTCCAAACTTCCATGAACATTTCCTTAAACACTAGGTTTTATTTTTTCTTAATGAAATGTCAATAATTCCTACTTTTCTACTCAAATTACAATTCACTCAAAGTTGTAGTTGTAACCCAGGTAAAGAAAATGCATTTTGAAAATCTAAGATTTTTTTTAATTAAACTGTGGTTTTACAGCGTTTATTTTTAATTTGCAGGTATTGACCCTGCAACAATTGAGTTAAATTACACCAAGATAAAGATAATCTCCAGGTGGGAAGAAATAAATGGGGATATGAGCTTTGTTTCCTGATTTCCTCTGTAGAGTACAGCCCAAGTTGTGACATGTAGATCATTTTTCCAAAAGGTTGATAAAGCTGAAATTCAATCCTAACACCAGCACCCTCAAGTTTAGATCAAGGGTTTGTTGAATTCCACCTGAACTTCCCTATCATAGGTAGGCATCTGATAAATAGGAAATGAATCTTCACCCCAAAAGACTTTATTCACAGACGTTTTATTGCAAACATGCACCTAAATATCTGGGATTCCAGATTCAAGTGCTCAACTGGCAAATTAAGAACTGAGACATAAACAGGAAAAATGAGAACAAAAGGGCATAGAAACCACGCGGTCTATTTGCCACCTCTGCCCTCAAGATAAGTAACCGCCAGTTCTCGCCATGCTCATCAAAAACAGCTCTATGAAGAATTTTGACACAAAAGGTAATAACACTTTTGAAAGGGGCCCAAGAGCACGGGCTTTAACCACTTTCACACATACGGGTAGGCCCACGAGGTAATGCTGCTACTAAAATAGCGGGATCACTCACCATATGAGGAAATTCCGTATGGCTGTCCCGGCTGTGGGTACGTGGCATATGCTGTAGCTTGTTGCATTCCTGTGGTAAACTGTGTTTGCCCATATGCAGCCATAGTTTGTGAGGAAGGAGTAGGGAGAATATGTGGGTATGGTCTGCTATTTGTCAGGAATGACAGAAAATAGAAAGCCCATGCATTAGATGGAAACATGCAAGGTAACTGATTAACAACCATATCACAAATTCAGTAAAGATTGTCTCCTAAGTATAACTTTCAAAAAGCACATATAAAATACTGAAATATTTCAGCGTTTCTACTAGGTGATGCACAAGGTCAATTAGTGTAAATATATTTAAGGCTCTATGAAACGTACTTTAGTTTCAACTAAGATATAACATGTGGGCACAAGACATGACTTGAAATAAGGCAAAAGACTACTCAGAAAAGCAACGTGGTGAGTAAGAGAAAATACATCTTACTTGGAAGGATATATCTGTGGTGGGGAAAACTGGTGAGTTGGTCTTGGGCTGAAGCTACTGCTCCCAATTGCTGGAAAAAAAATACACAAAAATCAAAAGCAAAATACAAAATATATGAAAAACACTGATACAGTTTGAATTACAGTCTGAGCTTATGAAATTATAGACACTGGACCCTTTTGGCCTACAGAAATGCAATTGTACATTTCAACCTAACAGAAATTTAAACTACATTATGGAAACTATAGGAAATGATTAAATGGTTTTAATTTGAAATTACCATTTAGAAAACATAGTTGCAATCTTCTTAAGTACTGATCAGCATGCTGAAGTGGTTTTTATGATAGCAAGATTTTAAAAGTACAAGGAGTCCTGGCTACTGTTTGGAAAGACTTGCTGCAAGAGGAGGGATGAAGCTGAACTTCAGAGCTGGGCAGGACTGGAAAGGTCATGGATCTATTGTGCTCAGCAGGAACACACACACCTGTATTATACACACAGACTGTATTACCAAGAAACACAGTCTAATCTCTCAGGTGAGTGGAAATAGGGCAGATCCTCATTTGCCTGCACTGATTTAGCAATGTTTTTAGTAAAAATGCATTCCTATAACTATCTTAAATTTCTCAAGTTACAAGCAAAGCCTGTTATTTGTTGTGCTAAAATGGGTGTTCCTGTGCCTTTTAGTTAAATACATTCAACTTCAGTGTTCAAGTAAAATAAATTGTTTTCCTGAAGTTGTTTAAGCGTTCAAGGAGAATTTCATTTCTTTTTAATCACATATACTTCATTCAATACATCTCTCCTCTCTCCTATCCAATGTTCTTTCAGGCTCACAGGAAAGAGGCAAAAACCCATTTTTGCTAAATAAAGGCCTTGCAATGGTAGTTCTCAGGTTCTTTATAAATGAGGACTAAGTACATATATAAATATATTGACACACTTTTATAAATATATACATATAAATTTACACATACATATATGTAGTACACATGCAACAAAAATACACTTACAATGTTTTAATTTTTGTTTTTACTCAAACTCTCCCTAACATCTACCTGGCTAAAATTTTCATATCCTTTGGGTACTATTATTATAAGACATAATGTGTTTATTTTCTTGTTCCACAAATAATCAATGTCTTTAAAGGTTATATACTTATTAACTGTATTAAAACCCTTCATGAGATTCCATCAATCAAGCTTTCATACATTTTTATGATGTCACATGAATACATTTATGCTTCTCCAGTTTAATTTTCCACCTGTGTTTGGGACAACAGTGGTAGAGCTGGACTAGAATCTCAGAATCTATGACCAAACCTTTCCTTGTAAAGCAAACAGGCCTAACCTAGTGACAATATTATAGACCTAGATTAGTACTTCTCTTGCCAGCTGCCAGACTTCAGCCATCTGGCTGTGAGTTTGGCAGAGACAGGCTCCATATTAAAAAGTGGGCAGGCCAACTCAGCTGGTGTCCCCTGTCTTTTGGCACATGTTGAGTCACTACTCTGCTCCAGACACTGAGTTAGATGTTGCAGATATAAACATGCAAAGCTAAGTTCTGTCTGTCACACATGGAGAGGCTACCATGCAAACAGCCAAGAGAGGATTAGTTAAATATTGCAATTTATAGAAGGGAAGGATTAAGAAGAGAATACTTGGACAACAAGACTACCACTTGCCCAGGTCCTCTGTGACTTCAACATTTTCAAGGCAAAGGGCAAGTAGGTTTTATCCAGCAGAGTTGCTGGAGGAGTAATAACCTGCCTTGGCAATGATAATTACAAATAAGTTTTAAAGGATCTGTTTGAGCCACTACTTTTCATTCTTTCAGGTATATACCTAGAAATAGAACTGCTGAATTACATGGTATTCTCCATTTAACACTTTTTCTTTTTAACAAAAGGTGGTATATATGTATAGTAGAGTATAATCCAAAAAATTTTTAAAAAGTCTAAAAAATAAAACAGTAACAACAGAACCAATGCAACCTGACGATAGAACAGTAATCCTTTTTATTCTTTTCTAGCTCTATCCCTGTAATTTTTCAAATTGTGGGAGAGCCCATTAAAAGATCATAAACTCAACTTAATAGGCTGCACCCAGAAATTTTTACAAACAGGATAACATAAAAGAAGATATCATGATTACTATGCAGGGTACAGTAAATGTGTGTGGTTTTGATTAAGATTATGTGCACAGGATATGTGTGTGCCCATTAAGAAAGAGATTTGGGAGGCTGCAGAGTATGAGAATTAAGCACAGGTTTTTGAATTAAAATTTACTTTCAGTCCATTCAAGTTCCACCTCTTCCATGTGGTCTAAATTATTTGATCCTTCTGAGTCTTGATATGTTTTCATGTAAAATGATGGCAATGATACTACCACTACCTCATAAGATTACTGTGAAGACTAAGTGAGATAATTGACACAAGTGAATAATACAATGTGTAATAAATATTTATTATCTCATATTTGCAGATTCCCACTATTTTCATCCCAAATTTGCCCTTTTTTCTGTTTTTTTTTTTTTTTTAAATTCTACTCAATGAACAACATCACTTTGTGTTCAGCAAGCTATTAGAAGGTGTATCCTCTGTCCCCATTTTAGGTATTGAAAAGACATGCAGTCTTCCCCTGCTATCCGAAAGTAGAATAGATTCATGTTTGGTGTGACTTGATAGAATATTTTGGAGGTCTGGGGACATTCAATAATTTTCCCATATAAATTAATCATAATAGCATTCCCAGATCAAAAAGTTAACCTACTGAATAGTGGGGAAAATCTGTAACACATGAAAGCAAATAAATAGGAAAATTGGTATTTGAACCCATATCTACCTGACTTTTTCCACCAAATTATATTATCTCTTGACCCCATACACAGAAACTAGAAACCTCCACATCATCTCAAGTTTCCCATCTATTTGGTGGCTCATAAGTCCAGAAGGTGTCGTTGTTCTGTCCTGCACACTCCATTCTTGCTCTTACCCTTGTTCAGGCCCTCTGTATATCTCAGGTGGGTTACTGCAATGGCCACCCAGCTCTCCTCCCTATGTACCCCCCTGCCCAGGGATGGTGACCCATCACCCTTCAACCCTCACTACTGCCACCACATTGATCTTTCTTACATGGAAACCTCTTCGCATTCATTTTCCAGCTTGTAATCTTTGAATTGCTCACACTAATCCCAGGATATACTGACGACATAAATTCCAAATTTCTTGGCTGAGCACACAAAGAGATTCAAGCTTCCACTCCCCAGGGTTTAATATTATGTAGCCTCCCTGGAGCTGCAGACTACCATACATACCAGCATTTTCATATCTGTCTCAGTTGTTCTTCAAACCAGACCCTTTTGCCTTATAATATTCCTCTTTTCTGTGCCTGATAAACATATTTCTATTGGGAATAAAATACCATTTTCTCCTTAGGATTATGACTTCTTTCTCTGTACTTCCTTGGGATATTACACATATTGACAATGCAGCACTCATCACATTCCATTTTGGTTAGTGTGCACAGCATGTAGATGTTAGTTTCTTCTGCTACTATGAGCTTCTGGGGTCAAGGACTTCCTCATTCTCTTCTGTTTCCCTGGCCCCTTTTAGGGTCTGTCATGTGGTAAGTCATCAATAAACACTTTTTCAATAAGAACGTGAGATCTAGGCCATAAGCAAAGTAGACTGTTAAGCCACATGTCTTGAAGGAGGGCTAAATTATTTTATATGTTATAATGTCATGTATAAACTTATATAATGAACCCAATTTAGCTCTTTGATAATAAAAAATGGAATTGAATAGTAATTCTTATGAAATTCCTGTGAATCAGAACTTCTGCCTGTCTGTCCACTGCCTGCCTATGTGCACCTAAAATTATTAATTTGTAATGTCATAGAATAAGGTGTAGCTTTTGGGCTTTCTATAAATCCAAATGCCTGAGATTTCTGCATGGCCTAAAGTAAAAACTTCCATTTATATCTACAACATTCTTTCCCTGAATTTCCTAAAAATACCTTCAGCTTTTTAAACAACAATCTAGACATTCAGATTAATTTTCACTGCATTGGTCCAGAATGTCCTGAAGCAAAAAGAATGCGCCCGGATCATTTATTAAGGTAAATGAAATGGTTATCTTACCATCAGTTAACTTCAAATTATATATGTCAGAACCTTGAGGATCCATGGATAACTAATACCTCTGTATCTGTTTTAGCACATTTGTTTCTTATTATTCCTTTCTTTCTCCTATTTCCAATATATAGGTTAAAGAAGCTCCCCAAATCTTGTTGTAAAAAGGGAGAGAAGAACCTAAGATAAATAATATTCAGAAGCTTCTAAACATACTGGGAGAGTCATTAGAAATCTCTGAATTAGCAAAGTCCACTCCCAACCCCCTCCACCCCCGAGGCTCCTATTTTATTAATGTCAACATCATCCCACCTGACAATCCAGGTCTAGTAAGTTTTGATTCCTCTTTCCCTCATACCCTTTTATCAAAGGTCCATTCAGCTCTCCCTTGAAAATAGAGCACGACAACTTTTCAATTCCTTTCACTCACCATTCTGTTCCAGTCACCAACATAGTGGCCACCAGAGAATGGCAGGTGGATACACCCCATAATCTCACCTTCATTTCCTCTCTCCTCCACTCCACGCTACTAATAAAACTCAGTCTTACTTATTCTGCTTCAGTGGCTCTTCTAAGAAAGGCTCAGGCCAAAACAGTCTTCTTTGTTCTGAATCAAGGAAACACTTGTGTACCTACTTCTCTGTGTCTTCTCCACATGCATCTCCCATATAGCATTTTTTACTCAAAACAAATGCTGCTCCCCTAAAAAATATACTAGATCACGGCATGACCCCCACTCCCCCTCATGGCTATGGCCATTTTTCTGCCCACACATTTAATTAACCCAAACTTATTCCTTTACTTCACTAAGATCTCTGTTCAGAGCTTCTCTCCCCTATGATTTCCACTATATTCTTTGACCTACTTTCATATTCTAACACCACCACCTATTTATCATATACTTCTTCCACAAAATGAAAGGTCCATGAGAGTAGGA